CAATGAACCAAGGGGTTCAGACGGGACAAGTCCAGAATGAACCGCAGGTCCGCGCAGTCCCATTTTGGGACTGGAAACAGACGGGAAACCCATCTGAGAGACGTCGTCGTTTCGACCATGCCCAAGCGAACCCACTTCAAGATGACCCAACAGAGCGCAAGGGAAGAGACCTGCCCTGCCAGCCCCAAACCTCCCGCAGGGCAAGGGGTCATGCAACGCCACCGGAGGCCGTGCGAAATGACCCAAAGCGCCCACAAATCGTGGGACCAGGCGTGAGCGCACAACGCAAGCCTCCTCCCCATCGCCCCTTCAACGGGGCAAACTGCGAAAGGGCTGGCATCCTTTATGAGAACCAGAACCTCGCACAGAGCGAATACTGTGCCAACCAGACGAAGGCGGGTCTGAAGGTTGGAGCCGAATCCGAACCCGACACCAGTGGCCTACCACGACGAGAGGAACCTCGAGCCTTGGCATGACCCTTCCGGGAAGGCCCAACACAGGGCCCCTGGAGAACCAGCAAGTCCGACATAGGACGGCAAGAAGCCGAAGCAACCTGAATAAACTGCGCACCGGCTGAAGCCTTAAACAGGAGAGGGCAAAAAGGGGAAGACATCCTAAGAGTCAACTCCCAAGTGGATTCGACAGAGGAGGCAAGTATTGTCTGCCGACACGTGAGCCAGGAGGCATGAAACAGAGCCACCACATCCTGCAAGATCAGCACGAAAAGCTTCACCAAGGCAGCCGACGAGCGAGCCGCCTAGGCCAAGGCTCCAGACCCAGGAACAGCCCCAAGCGCCCTCACATCCTCCGTGAGCCAGTCAGAAGACAGCTCCAGGAGGGAAAAGAGGCGCAAGGCCGCAACCAAAAGGCCCTGAGCATGCAAGTCCTCCGCCACCTGCGCCGCCGAAAGGAGGGGAACCTGCACATGGAGCTGAACAACACCAACATCCTGGGAAAGGGCAGGAGCAAACAAGCACTCATTGAGGTGCTCAAGGTCGGCCCACAGGAAAACCTGAAGCACCATAGAAGCCTCCCTCCACTCAAGCGTGCGAGAACGACAGAAGGAATTTTTTTTTTTTTTTTTTTTATTATTGTCATACCTCCGAGGCAAAGACAGGACACTCCGCCAGCCAGGACGACTCCGGAACCTCGTAACAAAGCCAGAAAGGGAACGAAGTCCCAAACTTGAAAACCGAGGGCATATTGCTGAGGCATAATCCGGGTCACGCAGGAGGTTTGCCGTAAGGGCCGCCCGCACCGCAGCAAGTTGGATGCGACAAGCCGAAAACCTCCGGAAAGACGGAACCGAAGCACCCAGGGAAACACGGAACCAAACCAGGAGGGGGGCAGACACCAAATCTAACGTGTATGCAGAGGGGGGAAAAGAAAACCCTACTCCTTGTAACAGTAAGCCCTGCTCAGAGGGTAGAAAAACCCAGGCGGGGTCCAGTGGGGCCCAAGGCCCCCAAGTCAGCCCCTCCCCAGGGTCCTCTTCCGCAGGACCCGGGGCCGAGTCCTCCCCCAAGCACCAACCCCACTAGACAAAGCCGGCGCAGGCATAGAAGCTGGACGGAATGAGCCCCACTGGTCAGACCCAGAGGCTTTGGCCGGGGGAGGAGACTCGAATGCCTCCGTCGCCACACCGGAAGGGGCATCCCCTGAGGCTGCCCGAGTCTCAAGACCAACTAACCCCTGCTCCGACTCCGAAACCTTCAGACGTTTCAGGGCTGGAAGCAGGGGAGAGGGACCAGAACGAACAACAGGAAGGAAAGGACCAGGAGGTGCGGACTGAGCCAGGGTCAAAGCGACCCCCACCCCCAAGTCCGGTGACCCAATAGTTTGGGCCACCAAAATATTATAAGTGGAACTATAGCCACACCAGGCGGACCTCAACCAGGCAAAACAACAAAAAACAAAAAAAGAAAACCCCTGCAAAAGTACGACATCCCCAGAGGAAAATGGAACCGGCCGCCGCATAGGTAGTTAGGCTGCACAACACCTTGATGCCACAACCAGTACGATACCACTCCCTACTCAAGGCCAAACAAGGTTCCCAGCTGGTCCCAAGGGCGGAAAATTGCCAAGCAGCAAAAACCCTACGAAAATGGTTCCCAAACACACCAGGGAAGAGAACCCTAACACGCAAGGGCAATACTCACAGGGCGCTTAGAGAAGGATGCCCCTAAGCGCATGCAGCCCCGATACTGTACAGAACACCTGGCCACCACACAGAGAACACCACAAAGGCAAACACTGCTCGGAAAGCGAGGTCAGAGTTGACGTCTGACCTGGTTCGCATTAGCTGACAAACTGGAGTGCTAAGTAGCCAACGCAGTGGGGAGGGGTTCATGGCTCCGCCGTCCCTCTCTTGGGGAGGGGAGGGCTGTGCAGACGAGCAGCATGATTACAAAAGTGTGACATTAGCTTGTTTGCTTCTTTCCTTGGGATTGGAGGAAATTCTGCCTCTCTGTTTGGTTTTTAATCGCAATTTTCTTACCATGTGGGGTCAGTTTTGTTATGCTAACCATTCTGGGTGCCTAACCCTGGTCGATGGCAGATAAGGAAAACTCCCAACCATAGAAGGATTTTCCAGGGCCATTGCTCCCTGTGCCTCTCTGAGGGGACCAGGTTCCGGCTCGTGGTCCCCGGGAGGCTGAATGCCATAGACTAACGTCCCGGTATAAGGATTCGCATATTAGCCCAATATCTCCAGGGAACCGAAGGGGTTCCCCACAGTAAACACAGGAGATAACTTGTGAAACAGCGTTGTGGAAGTGTTGATACTGAATACAGGCAACAGTGGCTCTGCCAGTGCTGAACAATAAGAGGTTACAGTATTAGGCATGAGAATGCCAATCAAGAAACTATCAGGGCAAAAAGGACAGGACAGACCTGACCGAAATTAAGATGACGATGAGACAAATAATGGTAAAATGAGTACCAGGCAACCTCATATTACTGTGAGGAAAGATGTATATGAGTCACCAACAAACCAGTCACCTGCTCACGTACAAATGACAATAAATACACGTAAAAACTCCAGATGCAAACAGCAGATGAGAGGTTTGAAACAGAAAAGTACACTACTTGGCTGGTCTGCTGGAAGAGGAGTCAAACATTGGGCCAGCAGTGTTAGAAACTAAGGCTGGACTAGCCTCCAAGGAGCCAGAAAGATCACCCTCCCTGAGTACAACTCCAGACTGGACAGCACCCAGAGCAACAACTGAACAGGAGAAATTAGGGAAATGGGGAAATTTGACCAAGCCAGTCGACAGGCATCCAGAATGAGAACCTCATGAGTGGGGGAAACTGAGCCACATAAGAGGGAAGGCACCAGTTCTATGCCAATGTGAAGAAATCCACTTCAGGGTGACTGAACGTCTCACTGAGCCAAAGGAAAGATGCATCGTCGATGCTCTATTCCGTGGAAGCGGGATATGCAGTATGTAGCTGGAGTATGAAACTGGGGGTATGCAGCCCAGAGGAAGCTGAATCCTCCTCAGGGCATGCCACACAGCTGAAAAGTCGCACACTGTGCTGTGTGCCTGACAGTACGAGCCTAACTACCAACCCTGGGTGGCCTAGTGAGCATGGTCCATGAAGCCCCAACCCAGAGACACGGGGTCCATGAACACTTCGAGCTATATGGGGAGGAAGGCATCACAGAATTGAATAACATGAAGGGGCGCAAGGTGAAGCAAGAGCCAACAAAAAAGCAGGTATGGCCTGAACCCACCTGTCCTGAGAGTGGCAAAAAAGGCAGAACTGGAGAAACTGATACAACACTCAAAGCCAAACCCTGCCCAAGGAAAAGACAGTGCAGGGAAAGTTTAGGCTCCCACACAGCCACTCAACCAGCTTGGATTTAAGCTGGAAACTCCGGTGAGTCATAGAGATGTTGGAAAGTTTTCTTTTAGCGTGAGAGGTGGGAAAATGGAATAAACTAATGGAGCAGGTTGTGGAAGCAAACTCTATACATAATTTTAAAACTAGATATTATAGGGAACTAGAACAGGAGTAAATTGAAACAGGAGCATCAGAGGTAGAACATTCCTAGATGACAAAGCCAAAGTGCATGGGGAAATTGTGTGAAAATCTGGTTTGGCTTCAGTTGAAGTCTCAGGAATCCTAGAGGGTGCAGTAGTACCCCAGGTTGCAATCCTTTTGACCATGTCATGGCATAGTTGTCTAGAGTGTTTTCCTGAGGACACCCAGCACATAGGTTTGAACACTCAGTACAGCTCCTACGGATTTTCTCATTGATGCATCACAATAGTGTGATTACTCTCTAAGTATAGCACAGGAGTCCTATTTCCACTTCAAACAACCAGCAGCTAGAAAGTCAGGATTCAAGAGCCAATGCTCGATCCTACAGGCACAAATAGGCGAGCTTACGAGTCACCTGGAGCCAATCCAACACCAGAAAAGTGATGAGGCTGCATACGGAGCAAAGCTACCAGAGACAGGGAAACAGACGCCGACTGAGAGTCCCAAACAGGGTCCAGCCAAGTTTGAATCTGGGATGGAACCAACTCCAGTTCATCAAGACCCTGAAACCAGTGAGGTTCAAGGGGGGGGGGGAGGAATAGCAAAAGCTACTCTATCCACTTTGAGATATATTTTGTTGTCTCAGTAAATGTATTGGCCTGAACCAGTGAGGTGGGAAAGAACCAGATCCCTGACCAGCTGACATGCAGACTCACTGGGGACCCACAGTCATCAAGGTAGGCCAACACTTGAACCCCCCTAACAGGTGTAGCCTGGCTCCAACTCATGCCAGCATGGTACACACACATTGTTTTTCAGAAATGTAAGCTCACAAAGAGACTCAACAGCATAATTTATATTTGTCTGTGAATATGATTATAATTTTTTTTTTTTTTAACTATTATTATAATTAATATTATGATTATTATTTTATTGCATAGGATGTTAATGAAAATTATAATGTGTAATATGATGCTAACCTCATAGTTAGGTTTTTTACCAACACACTGTACCTGGTGCCTTGGGTCACCTGGAATATAGTGAATCACCCTCAGCCCTGGTGTGTTCTCCCAGGCATAGTCATATGTGTAGCGAAGCAGACGATGACTTGTGTTTCCATCCTCTTCCCGAATATAGCTATAGGTGCGTCTATATTTGCCCTTCTTGTGCCCAGTCACATACCAGTTATAGCAGTCCATTCTTCTAACCTCTAGGAGAATTAATATACTGTATAAATAATTATATACTCGGTGTGTAATTCTATTGAATAATATGAAAATTTATGAGGAAAGTAGTGCATTTGCAATAGTTTCAGTAATTTGTACAAGTTTAAGTGAAATGGAACTTGCTACCAGTGGAATGAGATTGCCTCAAAAGCCTGACAATGTCCCTAAAGTGGAGCTACTGACAAAAACTATCCAGAAATATTCATAACAATAGAGTTTTAAAATAAAAGAAAATTTGCATTCCAACAGGTGGAAAATTCATTAAATGATAGTTTTAATAAACATTTCTAACTCACATTACTACTTCTTTACTCTTAAATTTCGCTGAACCTTCCATTCACAAAATCACAAAATTGTTCTACACTTAAATTTTCCCCACAAGAACTCACCCTGATCTGCATATCTTTTAATTCATTTGTTTAATCACTCACATGCTGAATTACTAACACACTTCACTACTTCTTTTACATAATCTGAATTTGTTCAACTAATAAGGTACCTTAAAGATTACGTAACTCATTTTCTAAAGTGAGATTGTGAGATCAGTGAGATTTTGGCTTTCAGGGCGACTGATCTGAGATGCTTTTGTGAGTTTTCTTCAGTGTTTTTGCTTAAGTTGCTTGTTCCTTTAAGCAGGTAAGCAGGAATTTAATGAATCCTACTTTTGGCGTTCAATCTCCGACAATTCAAGTGATTGGGCACCATTCCTTTTCCCCGTCCCATCCCAAATCCTTATTTTGATCCCTTCCAAGTGCTATATATATAGTCATAATGGCTTGGTGCTTTTCTTGATAATTCCCATCTTTAAAAAAGGTTAACTCAAGACAATAAAAAGCCACTGTGACCCAGATCATTTATTTGAAGAGAAAAAAGTTGTGACGTAAGAGATAGTGTTTTATTATGTGAGTGCCATCCCAAACACTGTACAGTATATATAGTTTCTCTTATCTTCAGTGACTTGGCTTCTTGCTAACTTTGCCAGAAACAAAGGGTGTGTTAATAGTTAGCGGCCTTGAATAACCTGCATGCATTGTTATTCAATGAAATTTGATTTCTTAAGTAAGATGAATGTATCTATTTTTACTATACTGTAGATATATTTTTTAATTTTATATTGTTAGATATATTAATTTACTATAGATATCATATTGGTCTGCCCATTATGATTATGACAATTATAAAGGAAAAAGGCTTCTATACAATAGCATTATTCTTTAAAAATTATTTATAAATGAAGAATTATACTTGCCTCCTTTTCTGTAAGGTATTGCCACAACATACACATCTGTGGGCTGAGGCTCAAGTAGAGGAAGAAAAGATATACGACTGACATCTGGGTTACCTAAAAAAGTTCATAAAACCAGCGTTGAATGTAATGAAATGCCATTTTCTGGACGAGACACGAAGGCTTCCCGGAGTTATCGGGCTGATATGAATGTATTAGACCGTATCATCGGTCAAGTGAATGGAGTTCTGCCTACCAGGTACCACGAACCAGAACCTGGCCCCCCTCAGAGAGGCATAAAGAGCAATATTCTAAAGAAACCCCCATGTGGTTACAAGCATTCTATACTGAATTTGCCATCGACCGAGTCAGGCACCCAGAAAGATAGGTGCCCCAAAACAAACCCAATCTGGTTAAAAAAAAATGCTAATGAAAGCCGAACTGTTGAACAGAACTCCCAAAACTAAAAACGAGTGAACGAGCATGAAGTCACAACCATCACTGCGCCGCTGTCTGCACAGCTACCCCCTACATGGGAGAGGGTAGGGGAAGCTCCAGCCACACCCCCCTCCCCGCCGGCTATCCATCCCCAGTTCACAGGATGGATGTCAAAAACAGCAAAAACTGCCGACAGGAGGGTGGGAGGGTTGCCGGGGAGCCTCCGGGTCTTGCCCAGAAAATGTGTTTCGTTACATTCAATACTGGTTTTTTGGGGGGAGTCCCTTCAGCTCCCCAGAGCTACTGAACCAAAGATAAAACAAGAGGGACTTACCCAAGGCGGGGGTGGTCGCCACTCGCTCCTCAACTTGAAGTCGAGACAACTGGCTGCAACCACCAACCCAATGTGACATGCCTGACTCGGGCCAGGAACATTAACTAAGTAGTGAGCGGCCAGGACCCCATTTGAAATGCAAAAATCCCGTGCCCGAATGTCAGCCCAAGACACATTGCCAAAGACGGCAGCAAACACAACAAACTTACAAACGTCATGGGTACGAGGTTAGACCACAGGCTAGCTGGACCGAATAATCCTGTGGATGACCAGAGAGATCCGAACCCTGGAACAGGGAAGAAGAGATACCGGGTCTACCCAAAACACGTCCGCAGCCACCGAGGCTGTGGCGCGCAGGTAGCGGTGAAGACTTGCAACCGGACACATCACATGATGCACCCCCAGCCGAACTAACCAAGCATCAACAACCCGAGGACCCCTCTGGAAAGCAGCAGTCTCTTTCTTCGTCAGAACAAAAGAGAGACATCCAGAAAAGAAGGAGATAGTCGCAAACATACAAACCTACCAGCATGATAATAGGAGCAGAAACCTTTGTGCTGGAGGAGAGCATAATGCTCCCCAACCTGATCCCCAGAATTCAATGCTAATGGAAAAATAAGAGCCTTCGAAAAACAATCTTGAACCAAAGAGGCCACCACAAACCGAGGAGAAGAAAGAAAAGAGAGCACCTGGTCCAATGATCAGGATGGCTCAGGACGCGCATGAGCAGGCTGGAGGTGAAACAACACAGCTTGCAGAAAGGTGCAGAATCCACCCAGAACGCAAGCTGAAGCGGCTCTGCCACCATCGCACAATACGAGGCGACAGTATTCAGCATAAGATGACGGTACTGAAACAACCAACAGAGGAAGACAGAGGAAGGACAAGACAACCTGATCTGAAACTGAAGAAAACCTAAGGAGGGACAAGAAATAACGAAAGGACCATCAGGAATCTTTATACTTCTGCCGGGACAAAGCACGTAGGTGCGACACCGTCACTTAAGCCACCTGCTCACCATACAAATGGTGATAGACCCGCATCAGAAAGGCCAGATGCAAAGACTTGAAGACAAGATCAAACCAGCCACATAATGGACTGACCCGATCTGCTAAAAGAGGCAGAGCTGCAGGAAAACCACCAGGTTCAGACACCTAGCAAGCAGCACCTGAAACCAAGGCTCAGCCGACCATCAAGGAGCCAACAGGACTACCTTTCCTTGGTAAGTCTCCAAGAAAGCCAAGACCTAGAGCAGCAGCAGAACCGGAGAGAAGTAAAGATAACCTCACCTCGACCAGTCCAGCCCAAAGGCATCAACCCCGACAGCTTCACAGTCGGGAAAGGCCGCAACTACGCTGATGGAATGGAGCTGGATTGTCGAACCTCGAGGGACCTGAACCCTCCAAAGCGACATCCACACGGCCATGAACTCCCCACACATACTGTAGACACTCGATTATCCAGTATTCGACCTTTCGGTAAACACCCTTATCCGGCTAAAATCGTGGCCGGATAAATTTATCTCACTATCTGGCCAAAATGTCCATGGGAGCTGGAAAAGCGAGTGTTTGGCCGGATAAAAAATCTGGGTCGATTAACTTGCTGCCAATGTTACACTATCCGGACAGTCGGCCGGACAAGCGGTGAATTATCCGGATACGAAAGCTAGGCTGCGGCCGCACCATATTAATCCCGTCTGGCTGTGGCTAGAGGCCCATGGTGTAGGAGGGGTGGGGTGGGTGGGTGGTGTCGGGAGAGAGGGGAGCATTGGGAGGGACCACCTGGGGGATAATGGTCAGGAAGGGTGGGAGGGAGTTGGTCAGGGAGGGAGTGGGTCAGGGAGGGATGGAGGGAGGGAGGGAGGGAGGGAGGGAGGGAGTGGGTCAGGGAGGGAGGGAGGGAGGGAGTGGGTCAGGGAGGGAGGGAGGGTGGGAGGGATAGGGAGGGAGGGAGGGAGGGAGTGGGTCAGGGAGGGAGTGGGTCAGGGAGGGAGTGGATCAGGGAGGGAGGGAGTCGGTCAGGGAGGGAGGGATTGGGTCAGGGAGGGAGGGAGGGAGTGGGTCAGGGAGGGAGGGAGTGAGTCAGGGAGGGAGTGAGTGAGTCAGGGAGGGAGGGAGGGAGGGAGTGGATCAGGGAGGGAGTGGGTCAGGGAGGAAGGGAGGGAGTGGGTCAGGGAGGGAGGGAGTGGGTCAGGGAGGAAGGGAGGGAGTGGGTCAGGGAGGGAGGGAGTTGGTCAGGGAGGAAGGGAGGAAGTGGGTCAGGGAGGGAGGGAGTGGGTCAGGGAGGAAGGGAGGGAGTGGGTCAGGGAGGGAGGGAGTTGGTCAGGGAGGGAGGGAGTGGGTCAGGGAGGGAGGGAGTGGGTCAGGGAGGAAGGGAGGGAGTGGGTCAGGGAGGGAGTGGGTCAGGGAGGGAGGGAGTGGGTCAGGGAGGAAGGGAGGGAGTGGGTCAGGGAGGGAGTGGGTCAGGGAGGGAGGGAGTCGGTCAGGGAGGGAGGGAGGGAGTGGGTCAGGGAGGGAGGGAGTGGATCAGGGAGGGAGGGAGTCGGTCAGAGAGGGAGGGAGTCGGTCAGGGTGGGAGAGAGGGAGGGAGGGAGTCGGTCAGGGTGGGAGAGAGGGAGGGAGGTAGGGAGGGAGGGAGGTAGGGAGGGAGGGAGGTAGGGAGGGAGGGAGGTAGGGAGGGAGGGAGTCAGTCAGGGAGGGAGTCAGTCAGGGAGGGAGAGATGGAGGGAGTCAGAGAGGGAGAGAGGGAGGGAGTCGGTCAGGAAGACACACAGAGAGAGAAGTGTTGAGTGTGTGGGGTACAGGATGTGACTCACTTAAACCTACCAAGGAAGGTAGGGTTGGAGGTGTTGCAAGAATGTATTATTTTCTTATTGCTGTGGAGAGCTAGTTACGAACATTAAATAGCACACTATAATATTTGAACAGAATAGTACAGTATTTGGCTTGCTATTTATTCATTCAAATATTTACAAGAAAATAAAATGGGATTTAACAGAACTTAAGGCGCATATGTTAAAAGTCATCGTACAGTGTGTCAACAAGTTCAAGTTCAAGTATGTTTATTGAAACAAGAAAGAAATACATCTCAAAGGGATAGAGTAGCTTAGGCTATTTCTATCCCCCAGCGTGTCAACACCCACGTGTCGACACACGTGATACTATAGTGAACTCTCATGTAGAAATAATTAGTAAATTGAAAGAAAGTAATGACCATTTGAATAGCAAAGTTTTATGTCTTGAGGGTTTAGTGAAAGACTTGCGCAAGGATAAGAATCAATTGGAAACAAATTGCAAAGCCATGGAAGAAGAAAATAAACTCTTAAAAATAGCTTTGGAAGAAGTTAAAGTAAATTTAAACATAAATGACTACAATAGGTTAGGCAAGGAAATTCAACAGGAGAAACAGCTTTTGTCAGCACAGATGGAGGAAGTTACACAGGGAATAGAACAGTGCAAGAAAGATATGCAACTCACTTATGCACAAGTGGCCAAGGAGAAGGAAAAAATAGAAGAAGCAGTAAAGGAAGTCAAACACTGCAGCAACCAAGATAAAACAAACATTAGGCTAGAAGTGAGGAAAGAATTGGCATCTAACCCGAAGTTGGTGTAAAACACAGTTGATCGGAGTAAGTCCCTGATCATTTTTGGCTGCAAAGAAAAGGCGATAACATCTAGGTCAGAAAGAGCTGTAGAAGAAGCTAAAGTAGTAGATAAAATTGTTGGCCTCGTGGAAGGTCTTACAAACAGAGAGAATGTGTGTGACTACAGGAGAATAGGCAGGTACGTAAAAGGGAAAGATCGACCTTTGAGGATCACCCTAAACGGTGCCAAACAGATGGAAGAAGTTCTAAGGAATGCTAGAAAATTGCAAAGGGATGAGGATGGGAAAGGGTGGTCGTTAAGACGAGATCTTTCAAAAGAAGATAGAGAGAAGCTGAAACTGAACCTCGCCGAGGCAAAACATTTAAATGAGAGCAGGAATGAAGAAGAAATAAATTCTTTTTTCTACAAAGTGATAGGGGTAGGCAAACCAGTAAAGTGGTACATAAAGGCAAACCAACAAAATCAATAGAGAGAGGGGGAGTGAAGAATAAGGAGAGGGGGAACAAGTTCCTGAAGATTGCATACACCAACATAGATGGAGTGAGATCGAAGATACTGGAGTTAAGTGATGTAATACAGCTGCAGACACCAGACATTGTTGCACTCACGGAGACAAAACTTGAAGATGTAATTTTAAATGAGGTCATATTCCCAAGGGGCTACTCAATTTGGAGACGGGACAGAAAAATTAGGAAAGGCGGTGGCGTTGCTGTGCTGGTAAAAGAACACCTAAAGGTGAA